TCTTCAGCTGTACTTCAGACACAAGTCAGGCTTGTTATTCTCTCCTTGCATGGATACCCCTCCAAAAACCAGCATAATCCACCAATTCAACACTTGGCTGTAAGAGCAGCTTTGGGACTTCCACACAACTGGGCTTGGCAAGTCACCTTCAAAAGCATGTCAAAGTTTGTTAATAAACTACAGCCTTAATTACAATGCACCTCTTATTCATACTAGGATATAAAAGGTATGTCAATAAATATATTCCATCAAACATTTTGGAAGTCAGATAAATAAAACTACCTAGATTTTTAACATATGATTACATGACTGCGTTACACCCCCAGGCAAGCCTGGACCAAGCTTGCCAAGACCATCTCATTCTTCAGACCTGTACCTTCAATGCAAAGGTCCCGGCTACAGTTCTCCAGGCTATGAATCACAGATGGCCAATACAGATGATAACTGTCCTTTCCAGCACCAAGTTTTAAATGTTTGCCAATTTAACAGGTGTACGGCAGGATGCTTTGTCTACTTTTTTAAAAAAATATGTACTAGAAAGAATCCAACAGATGAGGATCTTAAGTCACCTAGTGCTGCTTTATGCTTTAAGCACAGCTTCAGTCTTGTTTCAAGCCTCAAGAGAAAAAAAAAAAAACACCACAAAACACACCCTACTCCCTCCAAACAGATCACCAAATACTATCCCCAAATTAATCTATTAGCAATGCTCCTTCTAGAGGTGGACCAGGCCCAAAATACACAAGATAAGGTTTGATAGTTTGAGAGAGGCAAGACCAGCATAGTAGTATTTTAACAGAAAATGAAAACATAGAGCACATTGACTGATACCATTCTTAATAACTCTCCAGAAGTCTGATACCCGACTCTGATGACCTAAGGCTTTGCTCCTACTACAGCTTATTCCACAGGGAGTGGGGTGAAAATAGCTACAAAAGGAACCTACTCAACATGAGTGCTTCCTAAGTTCTACTCAATATTCTTTTAGGGGATAAACGAAAAAAATAAAGCTTTGAGGTCAGTATCTTCCTGAAAAGTTGTGTTAAAAAAAAAATAGAGAGAACTTCAGCTAGGGCAAACCAAACAGCTAATTCAGTACTTTCAGCACAAATCAAGCAATAATAGCTAAAGGCTTTGTTACACACCTCTGAGTACATAGCCTTCACATGTCCTTCAAAGGAAACTTCTTCACTCTTCCACATGTAAAGCAAAACACAAGTTACACATGCTGGACCCACAATCCCTTTCTTCTCCTCAGCACTGAAGCCTCAAATTCCACTCTACATCATGTCATGACAAGTCTAGCTGTGCCAAGAGAAACCAGGCCTAAGGAAGTATCTAGTCAAACATCACAAATATGTATTATATCAAGCCTGTTCCTTTTAAAGGTCATTACATATTATAGTTTCTTGATAGCACTCCTTTTCTGGTAGAGGACACCAATTTTACTGCAACAGACAGGTTCCTCTTCTACTTGGAATATGCAAAGCATAACATTAGAGGGCAACATAACTTTCTTTTTCTTTGTCTGAAAGGTAAAGAGAAGAACCCAGAAGAGGTCACCCTGACTACACTTCAGACTGGACAATCTACCTTCAGAAAGCAGATTCAGAACATGTATGTCACCACAGTGCACCACAAGTACTAGCAGAGGTCACGAAAACAGATTCCTTTGTTCTGCTGGTGGGTTTCCCCTTACATTGCTTCAATACCACCTTTGATTCCAGGCCCTGATCTTACCTCCCAGTTCTCTGCTACAAATTGCTTCCACTCTTAAGCAGTGTGGTGTTTTTTTTTTTCTTAAGTAAAGAATAAAAAACAGCTTCCACTCCTAAATGTTAAAGCATTCCCCCATTCCCACACAACTCAAGTTTTGTCCCAGCTTTAAACCAAAGCATTACACCACATGAGGCAATAAAGGGTCTCTCCCAACACTTAACTCACACTGTTAAAAGGAAAGCAAAAAAGCTAAATAGGAAGCCAGAATCCAGTAGCGCTGTGTTCCTTACCTCTCACCAACTGAATTTGCAGAGAGTATGGGAAAAATCCGAATAGCTAAAGACCACTAGTGCCATCTGGAGGCCATATAGAACAGCCCAGCTAAAGTTTTCTGTCAACCTCTACTCACACTTGAGTGCTGTCCTCCAAGGAGAGCTTGCCAGCACTTGCTGCATAAAGTTACCACTTCCACAGCCATAGAAGAAGGGAAAAGTTCAAGAGCAATTAAATACTGGTTGCAATAAATTTATACCTATCATGTGAAAGTATTCAACTACAAGCCTTGCTACAAGCCTTTAGCTGTAGCTGATGCTACAGCGGAAATTGCTCAGTGGGCCGTTGAAGTTCAGTAACAGAACTACAGTTACTCTCCAGGGTCAGGACTGTCCTTGGACCAGAGATAACTCAGTATTTCCCCTACACCAGTCCCATGGTTGTACTAGAACCACTGACCATGTACAGAGCAGCATTAACATACCTAGTACTACAGTTAGTCTCCATATACTAGCTACCTCTCACAGAGAGCTGTAAGATGGGATGCAATTTAAAGGAAAGGATAACTTTGTAATACTGTGGTGTTCTGTACATACATGTTCCACTTGTCACATATGTGGACAACGTGTGCTCTAATCATGTATGTCAACGTCATGTGCTCTAGACTTGATTATAGTTTAAGCAAATGAAATCTAAACACATATAAGACTGTTAAGGACTTTAGAACACTGAAAAGCGATTTGCAACTATTACTGTCACATGGGGTCTTACCAAGATAAAGAGTGCAGAATCGTTGAAACTGATGCTTCTGGATGGATACCCAGAAAGAAAACTTAAGTTATTTGCCTAGGGTTGACTACAACACTGTTTCAAGCTCCAGAGCTGAATATTCTGAATGTCAAAATAACAAATATATTAATCCAGTCAGCATCCAGGTTATCAAGTTGGGATGCTGTCTCACAAACTCAAAGAAATCAGGTCATTGTTTAAAGAGACCCTTTACCTAAGACAGCCCAGGTAACCTACAGTCTTGCTCCTGGGCTATTATCTTCCAGGAAGGTATTTCCAAGCACGTGAAGGATAAAAAGATTATTGGAAACAACAAGCACAAGTTTTCCAAGAACAAATCATATCTTATGCCTCCCAATTGCCTTCTAGGATGACAAGAATGTTTCTGGGGACAAAGACAAAGCAGTGGATGGCATGGCTCAAGACCCAAGCACTCAAATGGCACTGTAAAGCTAGAGGAATGGGCTAACAGAACCCTCACGAACTTTAGCAAAAGCAAATCTCCATTCTTGGAAGATAACCAAAGCTTTATGGTATAAGGCCTTACAGCACCTGTCCAAACTTTGAAGGTCTTGTGTGAAAAGGTAGTTGGACTAAAAACCTCCAGACTTCCTTTCCCACCTAAATAATTTGATGATTCTATCTTAATAGATTCACTAGAACTGTCTGACCAGCATATTTCAGTCAAAAGAATATACTGGTTTCCTTCCTTATTTCCCTCCCTAGATCTCTAATACAACTAGAATTGTTTTTTAAAAAAAAAAAAGCCTACACATCCCCATGTACCCTTCCCCCCAAGCAAAACATGTTACTCTGCTGTCAGAGACAAAAATGCTATCTATCACGGAACTGGCACACTTGCCCAGAGAGTAGAACACTTTTCTCTTACCCAGATAGATTCTTCCATAAGTAAAATCCTTTGTTACAAGATCAACAGAACTACCTTTAAGACATTAATGATAGTGCAAATCCTGTTTTGAAGGCCTGCTATGCGCTGCCCATCTAGCAATCTACTCGTATATTCACAATCAATGATCTTTTTTTCCGCTCTTCACTTTCCGATAACATGAAATATTAGCAACTAACAATTTAATTCTGATTCCAAGAGAAAAGACTTACATGCCAGGCATGTTTAAGGCTCGTTTTCTAAAGTGAATATAGTTGTCAAGTCTTCCACTGACCAAGATGAGCCACCCCTTCCTGCCCCACTTTAGGGAAACAATCATTCACATTATCTCTGCAGGCAGAGGCACATCACATGTCAATCAATTTAAAGGAGGGTATTTCTTGTGGGATCATTATTAATATATTCTTTTGGATTCAGTATCTGCTTTGGATAAAGGTAAGCTGAATTCAGTATCTGCTTAAGTCAGAGCCATGCAGGCTTGAACCCTAGAGATAATTCTTTCTGGGTACATCTGATTGCACATAAAACAGATTCAGCATTGCTTCAAACTGTTGCAGAAGACAATCCTATGATGCTCTCTTCTCAAACACCACTACAGTTAAATTTCTGGTCTGTTGGAAATTCAGAGGGGTGATTATTCCAAATGTAGTAGTTACTATAGATATGTATTTAGCTAAAATTCTGTGATGAAGAGGAACGGGTATTTTTGGTAGATAAGTGTTCCTCCTGGGAATTTTAAGTATCTTTCATGACTTATACATGAAAGAAGATTGCCATCGTCCAGGGTAATGACAGTGAACTAGTCTGAACCCACTTACTCGATACTATTGAAAATACAAATACTGACCTAAAAGTCAGAAGAGCAGATGAAAGTATTAAAACAAAGTCCAATGCAGCCAACAACAGGTCTCCGCCTGCTTTTGTCTTTAGGATTAAACAGAAATTAAGAAAGCTTAGATTCCCTTCACCTTGGAGGATGGACAAGAAGCACCAAGAGTCCAAAGAGGTTTCAAGAAGAACCCAACCTTGAGAATGAACACACCAATAGTGGGGTGTGTGGACATTAAACCCTTTAGAGTTGAAAGCTTACTTTATTTATTACATATGTAATAAAGTCACTCACTAAAGATCCCATCATCTATATAAAGAAAAATGACTGGACACAGCATGATGAAGTATCCTATATTTAAACTCTGCAGAATTCCCAAACTGGCACTTCCCTCATTTGCTATTGTGTCAGGAGTAGAGGCAAGCCAAGACATCTCTGCATCACCAAGCACAGGTACACTGAGAAAGAAGAAACCTCCCCTACCTGGCCAATCCTTCCTCGTAGAGATAGATGACAAGTGGATCATAGGATGTAACCAGAACATAGAGGCGCACATCAAATTTGAAATCTGAAATACAGTTGTCAAGAGTTAGGGACTGCAAATATCTCTCAGACATCATATCCAGTTGAGGAATTTCAACAGACCCTGAGAGCAATAAACCGTTATCTGCTGCTGACATAGGTGCCTGAAGCTTTCCCAGTTGAAAAGCTTCCAGATTTTAAGGAATTCACTAGTTACATTTTTTTCAGTACTAGAGGAAGATAGAACACTTAATTATTCAACCAAAATCCTGCAAAGGTTGCACATATCCTCAGGTGTGGGGCTGGGGTAAGAGAAAAAAAAGCAATTCCTAAGCACACTCACCATCTATGAGCAGTGGGTTGCTGATGTAACGAGAAACCAGGATGTTCTCTTCCAGGACAATCTGGTTTGGCTACAGAAGAACAGAGAATCCAAGAGTGAAAACACAGGAGGCTTAAGGAATAAGATGACCCACTTTTTCTAGATGACCCACTAGATCAAACCCACTTTTTTTAAAAAAAAAAAACAAACCAAAAAAACAGCCTTTCCCTCCTAAAACCACTCTGTACCAAAAATCATACCCGGTGAGGGAAGAAACAAAAACAAAATGAAAAATCACCACTATCAGTCACAACATACTTAAGGTAATTACATCCTAACCAGAAGTCTGGGCATGACGACATTGCCAAAAAAACAGCTCACTGAATCTTCCAGTTAAGCGCTCCTTAGACTAGAATACAGACTTAACAGCCACATGTCAATGATGTAAAATAGGCAGGAAAAAAAAATACATCCAAGTTGTGATTGTCATTCTGTTTGCTCTGCAAGTGTTTAACCAAACACATGCAGGAGGGGTTTAGAAGACACTGGAAGGAGTACATAACTACAGTTGGTGAGGAAGTCCCAAGTGAAGAAAGTGACTCCTCAACTTGGAATCTTCATAGCTAGATCCTGCGCTGGTATCCAACCTTTTTGCCTAAATGAGTAAACACCTACTGAGGTTCAGTTCACAGCAGGGGCTACTGTACCAGGAAGACGCTACTCTTGTCACAGAGCTTTCTGTTCTGAGCTACAAATATACATCACATAGTCATAGGATCCATTGAAAAAGCTTTTACTTTTTGCTGTAGGCAAGCCTCTCTCTTGTAACCAGTTTTAATTACTCATACAGTTTCTGGCAAAACAATTTCTTGCCTTCGGTTTGCAAAAGGGCCAAGAGAACCCCGTCATCCTGCCTTTATTCAATTTTGCATGTATTCAGCCACCTCACCAGCACCATGAGCAGAAAGCCGCAGCATACAGAGTGCACATATACAATACGAAGGAACAAGCTCAACTTCCCTCAGCAGATCACATAAAAATGACAGCCTGATTTATTACAGATCAGAGAAATTCAGAGGTTTGTTGTTTTGTTGGGGTTTTTTGTTGTTGTTTTTAAACACTTTCGTGATGAGATTCTAGAAGACACTCCCTTAATGGCATCACACTGAAGGATACTGAAGTCTTTGGGCCAAGCTAGCTGAAGTGTTTCTGAAACAGATATACACAAAGGGAGACCAGTCCCAGAAGGGTCTTTTCCCCAATTCATGGCCAACTGCCATCTAAGCCTGAGCTCGTTCCTCTCTTTCAAGCAAAGAAAAAGCTGAGTGCAGCTCTGGAAATACTTACCTCATACACTTGGCGAATTGTTCACTTATTTTATGGAAATGATCCAAGTAGAGAACAAATGAGGCAGCATGACCCCTTCAGTGCAGGGGAGGCTAAAGGGGTTTGAGCAAGTGAAAATAAAATGACTCACCAGTCAGTTTTGCTGCTGAGAATATTTATTGGAATCCCCTCGTGTTTGGCTGCTGCCCAGATGTAATTGTTACCTACGACAACCTAACTCCCTGCAAAGCCCAAAAAGGGCAAAAGATACTATAACCAGCACATGAAATTCAAAGAACCATCCCCACTACACCTCAGTGAGGGCACACTGGCATCTAGATAACACAGCTCTAAGACTGATACACATCCTTCTGTATCACATAAGGTTTCATTTTAACTGGTCTTTTCCCAGGGTAAGAGGGAGACAAGGGGACTGTTTGACAACTGTTCAGATCACACAGGGAAACAACTAAGGAGAGTTCAGGGAATCTTCCCAAGGCCAGCCTACTGTCACCCACAAGGAGAGCACGAAGCAGTACGAATCTTCCCAAATTGCCTCAGGGAGCACGAACTTGCTCCTAATAAGCTAAGACTCGAAAGGAAGTTGCAAGATAAGCACAGCATACAAAGAAATAGCTTGCTTTTGGTTACACAGCATAGGCCTGGGCAGGCTTTGCCAGCTGCTAAGGACTTTTGAGCTGCTCACCAATGTACGGTTGAAATCCAGAGGAGGGTCAGTGTCTGTTTAGATGTTTCCATACCGCTTCCCTGGAAGCTGGCATAGTTTTGCAGACTGTGTTACTAAAGAGCAGTCCTTTTGCTGAACACTTACGTTGTTTATCAGGTAGACACCTCGACCCCGGGAAGAGGCAACAGGCTTCACTATCCATGGGCCTCTGTCCTTAGAATAGGTATCTGGTTAAAAGACAACAGAACAAGTCTGAAACATTTTCCATTTTGCTTATTTACAGATGAGCAAGAATCAAGAGTGTTGCCTACAGTAAAAGCTTTAGAGAACTACATGAAGAGATCAAAGTCTACTTTTTTGATGTCTTATTTTACCCCTTGGGACTCACTGCAATTATTATGGCTCCTCCCTGAAGCCCCTCCTGCTGCTCCAATAGATTCATTGCTCTTCCCTATGCCTCCTTTTGTCAGTTCTCTCTTCGGTACTCCTAGATATTATTCAGGGAATTTGTGAATCAAAACAACACCACTGTGCACAAAAATAGTCTCTGTTCTGGAGTTTTAAGCCCGCATCAGCTTGAGGACTTACAGGGGCATGAAGTAAACAGCAGAGCAGAAATAACATTTAAAAAAAATATCACGTGGGGCCTTTTCCACTGTCTTTTCAGCTTCCTCTAATTTTGTTGCCTTAACCACTGGCATGATCAACAGGCTGTGATCTTTAGGTCTGGGCATCGTCAGCCATTCACTTACTGCAGAAGTCCTGGTACTCTGTCGGGAGAATGAAGGTCTGAGGTAAGATATGGAATGTCTTAAATCCATGGGCCAGCTGCATACGACTGACATTCTTGTATAGTCTGTCCTTTCGTGTCAGTTCATATGACCTGAAGTCCCAAAACAAGAGACTGTATCTGTTTTTTTCCCCAAATAAAGAAAACCCACATTACAGCAACCCTTTGTACTAGTTTCTAAAGCATCTATAGCCCTGTCAAATGTTTAAACCCTAACCTGCAACTACTCTTCAGTTTTACTGTCTCTGTCCTACAGCTGTATTAATATCCATCCTCATTTGTAGCACCTCTTGCAATTCTGAAGACAGACTCAAGCACAGCAAACTGCTTTAGTGGTGTTTGTAAACTTCAGCAGGTAACATACGACTATCTCTGTAATTAAGAATCCAAAGCCCCAAATACTTTACTTATACCACCAAATTAAAAAAAAAACAAAAAACACAAAACCAAATAATATTTGGGCTACAGAAAAGCGCTTCAACTCACATACTATCTCTTCAAAACTCCAAAGACCATTTAGAATGAAGACAGCATGTAGCACAGGCCCAGTGCATTGGGACTTCACAGTACCATGTATACTCTATTTTTTTTTAGTGCTATCTATGCTTAGATTTTTGCAAACCATCAGAGATGTTCAGCAAAACATGACATCAAGGTCTTACCTAGGGAAATGATTGACTTTCTGAATATCTGTAAGGGAACGCAGCAAGTAGGGCTTCAAGTGTGATCCTGTCCACATGAGATTATAATCGTTGCTATTAGGGTGCACCTAAAAACAACATAAAACACCACACACATAAAAATGTAGAATTAATGAAAAGCACCACCACTTGTCCTACAGACTGTGACTTTCTGTCTATGAGACCAGAGTAATTCTAGTTTAACACAACCTCCTCTACCCATCACTAATATTAGGGGAACTCTAGTCAGACTCCTGCCTTAAGCTACTGTACAGTGGTGCTGGGAAATAACCATGTCATACTTTTCTAAACAAACTTGTGGCTTTGTTCTTTTATAGACTGCTTAAACCCAATTCATAAAGTGGTTTAGATTTCTTCAAGAAACTTGCAAGACCAATTCCTTAACTTTTCAGAAGAAAATCCACCATACACACACCTCTCAAGTTATTCGCAGTATATAGGACATTCTTTAAAGCAAGACAGGTGCTAGAAGAGAAACGGGAAAGACTACATCAGTGCTTCTATGAACTTGCAAAGGCTTTAGGTCTTCCCAAGGGTGTGAAATGATGCTTTAAAAGCGAGAAAAAAAAACCACAACCCAACTTCAACATTCCTTTTTCCCTATTTTTGTAGGCTTAAGGCTAAAGGGTACTCCTTTGAGAGAGCAAAATCACAACGTATCTTCTGTTTGACTTGCAGAGTATGCAAAAAAAAAAAAAACACACAAAAAACAACCTCAAGGGGGTCCACAGCAATTTCCTTCCTAGTTCTAACCCTGCAGAGTAAAAACAAACAAACAAAAAAAGGGCAAAACACACAAGCCAACCACAAAACACATAAAAACCCAAAACATAATAAACACCATCATCACCACCTCCCAGCCCAGCACATAATCAGATGTGAAGATCGTTGCACTCACCTCATGGAATCCATGGGCAGTCAAAATGCTTCGAACCAGACGGCTGTCTGTTCGCACAATCTTATAGGACAAGTGGTAGCGCTCTGTTTAGAGAGCAAGAGACATGATATTAGAGTCTGCACCTAGAAGAATAAACCAAAATTACCTACACTACCAAAGAACAGAGAAAAGCATCATAGGACTCAGGATTAAGTGCAGCTGTCCTGTGCTGAGTGGAGCATGCCTACAGTAACAGCACATAACAGGCAAAGGGCGATAGGAAACACCTGCCCAACTCTTGGGGCATTAACTCCAATGATGGCATTGAACTGATTTACATCAATACTTCGGTATAATATTACTGCACCACTGAACCCTACTGTATCAAAATAAGACATGGGACATCCTAACAAATGCCCAGCTTTTAATTTTATTTTTAAAACAGTACTTTATATAGACTGCTTTATAACACTCTAAACATGATTTCAGCTCTTTCTTCTCTATTCAAGATTGGTATTCCTAGCTAAAAGCAATCATGCCACATGCCCTCATTGACATGGCTAGCTTACATGATCACTTCTTAGATCCTGAAAACCCAAAATAAAACACTGAGTTTTTGTTCATATCTCATTCACCTGTACTGATCTTCCAATAAATAACTGCAAAATATAGTAGGAAGTAAAATAAATAAGAAAAGGAAGTAAAAAGAGAAAATTCACTATCCAAGTAGAAAGTCATAAGAACAAAAGCACTAAGCAGCGCTGGACGTATAAGAAACAGAAAGCACGTAGCAAGACCAGAGGCCAGTTTTCATACAAAAGGATGTGGCAATCTATGGAAGAGTTCAAACGAAGTTGAGGCATAAATTGCAACATTAGAATACAGAATCACTTGGAAGAGGCACTTTACAAATTGATTCAAACTGAAAATAGAAAGATGAAGATTAGATTAAACCTCAGGAAATATGTTCTACCAATAAAAATAAGTCTAAAGAAGAGAGTAAGAAGTATCAGAATCTGGGATTGTCAAAGCTCAAGGAAATGTAACAAGTTGCACTATTCAGCAGTAGATTTGTTAAACCATGAAAACCCTCTGCCTCCTGAGAAAGAGCAGAAGAGATGCTACACTCCAGTTAGGATACAAGTTACAATTACCATCAGCTTCTGCCACCATTCACGTATGTTTTTAACTCACATGAAAAGGATCAGGAGTTTCCACACACAAAAAATCACCTTCTCCACCCCTTACCCCTATGAGCCAGAAGCATTTCTGCTTGGATAGGATATTAGAAATGAGGACACTAATTACCTAAGAAAGGGAGAAGCAAGAGAAGAAAGAAGTGTCAGCATCTTCACAAAAAGAAGCTGAGTAGATTTTAGCTTTTCTCCAACTCAGCACATCCAGAATGTGCTCCCAGCTGTACACACCCACAAGTACTAACTCTCACAATAAGGAGCGACTGTTTATAACAACTCTGCCTCTTATTTAGAGGCTCTCCCTTATTTGACACTAGAGAGGTTTAGTCTCACGACTCAAGTGCTGCCAGAGCAGCAATCATTTTGCTTACAGCCTTACTCACAGTTATGAGGCTGTAGACGTAGAGATTTATTACTACAGCTTACTACTGTTCTCACCACTGTAGGGCTGACTGCTTTATTTCCCAATTAAACCCTCTCAAAACTCACTGCAATGATTGATTTTAAGTTCTTAGCTACAGAGTAGTGAATATATATTCTGGTTGTAAGTTTCAGCATGGCCTCCAAGTTCAATTTGCAAGCAGACAGTTCCAACTCAAAACACATCAAGACCCAATGGAGGGACAAACATAGACACTTGTCACAACTCAAGCTGTGACATGATAAACATTCACCAACTGATCGAGCATTTCTGAACATCTCCACACTCAGAGACAAGCAAGGATTGTAATTTCCTTCCTACCATGTCCTCTTCCCAAGCACAAAAAGAAAGGAACACACAGGTTAAGAGATTTCCACCTCATGCCTTCAGGCCAAAAGCTGGCAGGTAGTTGCACCCACCTCCAATTAGGCGGAGGTAGCTGTCGTTGGTCAGAACAGCTTCAGCATGAAACACCATGACTGGGATCCGCCTGCAGCCACCACCAGTCCACTTGATACACGGATGATCCCTGAAATGGCAAGACAGTCAATATAAGCAATACTGTGCCTCACGCACACCGCAATGAGGACACAACAATTCTCCAGACTTGCCCACCTAGTCTGTGGGCAGGACGCAGGCAAACACACTGTGGGAAAATAACGGAAGATTGGCGAGGAGGTCTGTAAACATGCTCACGTGACTTGCAGCCAGGGTGTAGAAAAAGACATATATCATTCTAATTGTTGTCTCTCTTTGTGTGTTTGACAAGTAGAACATCTGCGTTCAGCTAACACAGGTCTGTGACAGACTTAGAGGCACCCTGTTGAACATGCTTGAGATTCCTGCCCTGCTGTGGGAAAGATCAAAGCCCAGTGGTAAACTACACCTGTGTGAATCCTTGAAAAACAGATACAAACAGCAGGTTCAGCGATCCCCCAGCAAGGACCAAGCTCCACAGTGCCTGTGTCCCCACTTGTCTGCCTCTGCCCAGGTGCTGCTTTGGGGATGCCCCAGTTGGTGAGGTAACAAAAATAAATTTACTCTTCATATTTCAGCCATGGTTTTGTGGTTGTTCCTGCACCCCGCCTGTGCTGACTCACACACACACAATAGGCGCCCTTAGTACTCTGTTATAAAGGGAATCTTCCAGGTCATCCTCTTTTGGGGTTGGTCTTGCCAGTTTAAGTCTGAATTCTGTTTAATTTGTATTTATTTTACCAAGTGTAATTTGGAAGAAACTCCATGAATTTCCACAGCTACAGCTCTCTGGATTTATAGCCTGAAAACAGGATCTATAATTCAGGATAAACCATAATTGCTGGTATCCACACAACCAGACCTTACAACACAGGTTCCAGCCTCCAATCTAAGAACTGTAAATCAGTGCATACTGCCTGGTTGTAATCCAAGACTCTGAAGTGCACAAAAAGGCACTCACACAGAGTTTGAGAGAGCAGAACAGGCTTGGCTCAACACAATGGCTAAACTTGTGTGTTCTTCCTTTTTAATTTCTAGAATGCAAGCCCAGAATGCAACGATGCCCCCAGCCAGCCACTGGAGCTAAAGGTCCCAAGCTACAGCAATCAGTTCTGTCCAAAACAAGACTGCATTGGGAACTTTGGTCTCCTCAGAAGAATTAGGGACACATTAAAAAAAAATTTAAGATCTGTTATATAAAACCCTAAGATCACAGAAAGAAAACCCGTCAACCTCCCTAAGCAAAGAAAACTCAGACTGCTTATGACTCACTGCACAAGGAAATGGAACCATGAAAAAGTTAACAGAAAACAGAGACTAAGGGGTAAGAGACACATCTCTGTCTACACAGACAAGAAGAAATAGAAAGACTGGCAGAGATAGACAGAGGTATTTGTCTATAGAATGCGCAAGATCATTGACTGCCAAAGGTTTGGAGAAACTACAGAAGACAAAACACTTCCTACACTTAGAACACAGAAAGTGAGATAAAAGGGCAACTTTCTGATGCTAAGGCAAGTAAGTACTCTGAAGTGTAGCCTTGGTCCTCTTAATCAAGTTATTACCATTATCACCCAGACAAATTAACTTCACAGCACTCCTATCTGCTTCCACCACCTCTAAAGAAAAAAAGTGTAAAAAAAAAACCAAAACCCCAACATAAAAATCAACTACTGGGGTGTAATTAGCTGGAAAGGACCCAGAGAAGCTTCCAGAACTTACACTACAGGCCAGAGCCTTATATAAGGGGGAAATGAGCTGAGGCAACAGGAGGAGAGTTTATGTTAAGCCTGTCCTGAGGATTTGCAGTAAGGCTCAATCCTCCAGGTGACAGTCATTCATTCCTAGCATGGCCCTTGGTCACTTGATGCAGACACCTGGTTACAATTACATTCTAGATGAAGGCAGTTCTGGACCTTTCCATCCACGAGGGGCTGGGAAGTGAGCCAATACCTGGTATGAAGCAATTGTCGTGGTTTGGCCTCAGCCAGCAACAAAGAACCACGCAGCCGCTTGCTCAACTCCCACAGCTGTGGGAAAAATCCACAGAAAAAAAGCCAAAACTCGTGGGTTGAAATAGTGCAATTGAACAGACCAGCAAACGGGAAGAGGAAAAAAAAACCAAACCAATAACACTGATAAAGGTATGGATATAAAGATGCGAGTACCATACCGCCGAGAAGCGCACCGACCTGACCCGCACCACCGCAGCCCACCCCCAAGTGGCGACTGTCCCCCTCAGCCCCGGCTACCGCCTCTTATAGCCCGGGCGTGGGTCACGTGGGAGGGAATACCCCCCCCCTGCCGGCTCCGGGGGGAAATTAACCCCATCCCTGCCGGAACCAGGACAGCAATATTCCTCTAAATGCTTTAAGCCACTGCAGTTTGCAGCCGGGCTCTCAGTCACAATGCTCACGCAAAAGAAAACAAACACGATATATTAAAGTAGGTCCAGCTGAAATGGAAAAGGGATTCCACTCTGGGAAAGAATAAGGGAGTGACTCCTTCACAAGCAAAGATAAAACAAGTTACTAAACAACAGTTGGAACAAACAGATACTAGTAAGTAATAAGAACTCTGAGATCTGAGTTCTCATAAGGCAGCTTTTTAAAGAGGACATAAACCACTGCGTATCACTCTAGTGTACAGTAGATTTCTATTCTATGCAGCAAAGTAAAACCTAAAACCAAACAAAAAATAAGCAAATGAAAAGAAAGGACATTCATTTCCTTAATTTGTTTAAACATCATCAAGAAAGTTCCCAGTTTAGGAGCATGACAGGAAGAGATCAATGAAACTACAGACAGCCAAGGAAGAGCTGCGCCTCCAACCCTGATGAATATAGTGGTCTTTTAGGCTACAAATGCAGGTAGCCTGCCCACAGGCTTGAGGCTCAAACCAACCATCTGCTGCTTTACAGGTAGGAGGAGGGTAAGGAATGCAACTGTCTTTTTAGATTAGTACAAAACCTACAGGAAGCACAGGGAGACAGAAACAGTTAAGAGGTTCCCCCACCACCACTTACTCCAGCCCATCTACATCTTCTTCCTCCTCCTCCTCTTCTGAGGATGAGCCAGTTTCCTCCAGATCTCGAGCCATCCCAACCGGCATTTCCTCTGGGAGTTTTCATACAGCCCAGTCTCAGTAGCCTCCGAGACTCCTTCCTGCAGATTCAAAGGATCTTGCAAGAGCAGTTACCTGCCATAAGGATTAAAAGCATGAATGCATAGCTGAGCAGGACAGCAAGAGAAATGAGGTAACTTAACTCCTGCCTCCTGTCAATACATATTTCTCACAAGACTATCAACAAGCTTGTCACAGGCTGTAAATCACCTCCCAGCCAGGGGAGTGTAGGAAGAAGCATCACCTTCCAGCAGATTATTCCCCACCTGCCTGTGAGAGTCATTCAGGCGCTTACCACCGAAGCGCGTCCCTGCCCTGCCCTGCCTCCGGCCGCAGCACCGCGCCAGGCTGGCCAGGCCCGGCACAGCGGCAAACGCCTGCTTCTTCCCGGCGCCGAGACTCCCCCGCCGCCCGGGATCAGCCGGACACCGTAACACCTCCACCGGCCAGGGAACAGCCCTCGGGCCCGGCCGCGCCCGGAGGGGAGGC